TCGCAAAATAAACTGTTTACTGCAATATTTTTTCATCGTTTTGATGGTCACTGTAGTGGCTATATTAATTTCTTAAAGTTCTCTCTTATATAAGCACACTACGGACGGACAAGCGCCTGTTTTTAGTTGTCGTTAGCAACAACGACCATCGCGTATCCGCTTGTTTATTTTCCACATAAACCTTTCACAATAAAGCTCAAGATCCTGTTGAGACTCTTCCAAATAAACTGAGTCACGTGAAAGAGTATGCAGTGTTTACGGATGAGAAGCAAAAAAGAGTCGTCAGGTGCTAAAAAATAAACCTTGGACTCAAACGTTAGAACAGGCTTTTCCCCGCAGCACGCCGTGTAATAAATACTCACAAAGAAAATGGCAGCCATTACAACTTATGACTAAAAATGTGTAGTTTCATGCATCGGTTAAAACACTGGACTCCAGGTACATGACGCCCAGCTGGAAACACTTCACGCAAGTCGAGCTGCCCGAGATTCACAGAATTTATAGAAAATGTTAAAATTTTGTGATTTATATCGTTATCGGACGATAGATGTTTTATGTCGGGATATGAGATTTTGGTCATATCGCACAGCCCTACTTAGCCTTTAACTAAAACTGGTTATGTGCATGTACTCAGGACTGCGTTGAGAGAATCAGGGAGACCATTGTCCACACTTGCCTTAACTTGCCCTTTCTTGTCTGTAGCACACATAAGGAGATTATAAGCCTCATAGTTCCCTAATCACTAATCAATGTTTAGTTTTAGCAGGAAGTGACATATTCAGAATGTCTGGACATAGTTTTGTGCTCTTGTGGTTAAGTTTTTGATGGTCATCATACCAATGCATGTTTGAAAACTGCTCAAGGGATTCTCAGTAGTCCACTGTTGCTTCATGCTTTAAATTCCCAGGAGTCCACAAAGGCCAGAATTAAAAGATTTCCTTATTCTGGCATGCGCTTTTTTTTTTTTTTTAAAGGTTTACATTCAGACTTAGTAAATACACATCCAGCTGTTTCTTGGGCTCGTCTCCTAGGACCAGATTGCAAAAGTGAATTAGAAATTTCCGCCCTATTCAAAGCATGATTGAAGTGGTAAGCACTTCAGTCATAATTAGTAAATTAATCTTACAGGTGGTAGACATGGTACATATCTCTTGATTTAATCAGTGTTTGATGTTTTTAAATACAATAGTTTTAAGGTTTGAGGAGTTCAGAGGTGCTGTTGGTTGTCAGTGTAGAACAATGTCTTTCACACATGTTAATAATGATGTTATAAAAAGACTCTTGCAATAAATCAGAAGACACTTCTAAAGTACTTTATATGTTGATGAAACCTACCTTTAACAAGTAAAGACATGTGAGGCTGATGTAAGGTAATAAGGCATTGATGGAAATGTGTTCCCAAACAAAATTCCAGCACTTTGTCCCAAACAAATGAAGCTCTTAGGATGATGGATGATCCATCAACATAGCTGGATTGTGACTCACAGGATGATGTAAAGGCCCAGCTGTGAAAGGCTTCATTCAAATACCTGCTTCAGTCTTTTCCCACTGGAAAAATAAGAGATCAATTTTTACCACTGACATTGAGTTCAAGGGACAAATGGAACTTAATCTTATGTGTTAGATATGCTAAATTTAAACCCTTTTGTGTCTTTCTCCAGGCCCTACGTCCGCTCCAAGGGCAGGAAGTTCGAGAGAGCCCGTGGTCGCAGAGCCAGCTGCGGCTACAAGAACTAATGCGTTTTTGTTTTCACTCTGCTACCAATAAAAGGCTGGTTGTACAAAATGTCTTCTGTGTTTTTGTTTGAGTGCTTGCTCTCTGCAAAATACACCCTTCATTGTTAATATGGTGGAGCTCGTGTTAAAGCACCAGCCATGCTGGAGGACAAGAATGGCATGTGGCTAATAAACTGAGGTCCCCACGTAAATGTTACAGGACACGTCTTTTAATTGGCATTTATCAGCCGGCCTGATAACAAGTGAGTTGGCCAGGAAGTGCTGGTCTGTCAATGATTGGAGAATGTCGGTGGGTGGGTGTTCTGTTTTCCTTATCGTCATTGGATTTCCTCTCCGCCGCTCAGAGCTGCTGCTCCTGCGTCTCCACATACTTCCTGCACCGAGCCACAGCATTCAGAGGCTATCTGTCGAAAGAGGGGAGCCAAGATGAGGTAGTTGGGGCTTTTTCTTTTCTTCTTTAAAAACCATGAAATTATATTAAACATGGGTTATACAGATATGCTTCTGGTGACATACAAAGCTCGAAAACAACTTTTCTTGTTGCTCATTTTGATAGGGTCTTAATAACTGCTAGCTAAAACCATGTATCCTATGCGCTAATTTAAGTATTTAATTTAACCCAGCGGAAAAAAGGGGGCATTTTCTTTTCAATTTGTCCATAGTGTTCCTCACTAATCTTTTGTGAAGTTATATTTGAATATATTAGTCGGGTTGAACTGGGGCTACATGTCAGTTAGCAAGCC